TCTATGAAGACGGAAGTCGAATGACCAGCGAGTCCATGCCGGGCATGGATGATGTTGACTCTCGCGCATGGACAGGTTTCACAATCTTTACACGGGTAAAACACCCGTTGATCGCCATGGCCGCCGTTGACGACGCTGAACTCGATGCTGCAGAGTTTCGGGCCTTCGTGGCTCAACGCTTTGGAGAAAACAGTGAGACGCAGATTGGCAAGGTGGCAAAGACGCTGCAATACGACCGATGCACTCCCGAGATGCAAGCTCGTATCTTGGATGCACGTCGTGCAGAGTGGAGCAAATATAAGAGTTTCAATGCTGCAACGCCTATTCGAGGCAAGGAATTGGAGGAGTTGCTTCAAGAAGGGCATGTTCCTATTCCTATGCAATGGGTAGATGTGGATAAGCAAGCTCATCTGACAGGTACGCCTGAGCATCGACCAGAAAACAGATCTCGGCTAGTAGCCTGTGGAAATCACGAACAAGTGAGCCGTGATTCACAAGGTATTCGCTGCGACAGCCCCACTGCTGAGACTGAAGGACATATGTTGATTGCAAGTTTTGCATCAAGCCATCGTGTGACCCTGTATGCGGCAGATGTTTCCTCAGCGTATTTTCAAAGTCAGCCAATGACGAGGTTGCTGTTGCTCAAACAGCCACGTGGTGGAATTCCAAGTCCGGATGTTCCACCGGATGCAATGTTGATTGCACGCCTTCCGATCTATGGCACGATCGACGCTGGCAGAGGCTTTTACTTGAGGATGAATGGTGAAATCACCAGTGCCGGGTTGAAGTGCAGTCGCATCACACCTGCATTATATTATTTGCACAATTCCAAGGGAAAGTTGATAGGCATGGTCGCGACACATGTCGACGACTTGTTGTATTGCTACCTTGATGAAGGCAAGAAGACAATTGAAGGTATCCTCAAAAGGTTCACGATTGGCAAAACAGAATCGGGAAAGTTCCGATACTGCGGACGTCAGTTCGTACAACATGAGGATTACTCCGTGAGCATTTCTACAAGTGAGAATTGCAGAACAGTGAAGCCGATCGAAATCGACAAGCACCGGAAGGTGACAGAGAAAGAGTTGACAAGCCTCAGGAGCGTTGTTGGTAGTTTGGCTTGGGTCGCTCGTTACGGAAGACCAGATCTTTGTTACCGTGTGAATGAGATGCAACGTGCATGTAGCGCAAAGGCAACAGTGCAAGACTTGAAGAACGCCAACAAGGTTGTTGAATTGGCACTTCAAGGAAGTGACCTGCAAATCACCTTCAAGAGTGATTGGATTGACTGGAGCGATTTGGCAGTTGTGACATTTAGCGACGCAAGTTTCGCAAATGAAGAAGGCTTTAAGAGTCAGCAAGGCCGCATTCACTACATAACGAATGCGAGCAGCCTCAAGGAAGGCAGTCACAAAATGCATCTGATCAGCTTTGGCTCAACTACCCTCAAAAGGGTGTGCCGTGCTACATTGCAAGCAGAAGCATATGCTCTGCAAACTGCAGTCGAACATGGAGATCGTCTACGATGCCTGATTTGTGAGTTGACCGGACGACTTGATGACTTCAAGAACTGGCATGAAGAGACTCAGAGACGAATGGCACACGTGTACTACACGGATTGCAGGAGCTTATCGGACCATTTACTGGCAGAAGTTCCAAGAAAAGTACAAGACAAGAGGCTTGGCATAGAACTTGCCGCATTGAGGCAAGGAGTGTGGACTGTGAGTGGCGAGAAAACATCAGAGATCTACAGTCCCTATGGTGACCGCCTGAGGTGGATTGAGACATCGAAGCAATTGGCAGACCCGCTAACCAAAAGCATGAAGCCAGACTACCTCCTCAAGACACTGGAAAGTGGCCTTGTGAATGTCGAGAACAGTGGCGCATGCGAGAAGGGAGCCAAGAAGAAAGATGAAGAAGTCTCATCTGACTTGTTTTGAGAATTCGACATGGAATGGCATGGTTTACGGCCCCACGGGGAATAGAGTTGCTTGGCTGCCTTTGTACAACTTGAACTGTAAAGCCCGCAACACACCTGTAGATAAGACGGGTGTGAATTTCACCGATTGTAGCCAGGGTGTATTGCGTACAGTTGATGCACCGTCGCTGCTGTTTCGGCTGAACAGGGCCCTTGAGCTGATTCGCTGCTGCGAAAAGGAACTGTGCGAGATTCAAATTAGTGCAAAGTGCATCGCACGGCGTACAAAAAACTCAGACTTTACTTATGGACTCATGCATGCAGTATGCAGTATCTAACTAGACGACAGGGTGGCCTGAAAGCGCAGTAGGAGATGACGCAAGGCAACCCATGATGATGATGATGATGATAATGATGATAATGATAGTTAGACGGTTGAAGTTGGCAGCCGTTCTTTACGGCAAACCCTTCCCAGATGCTTTCGGCAAAAAACGATCAAAACGTCCAAGCACACCCAAAACACAGGTGTTTGCAGGGAGTTGCGCGTCCGTTCCAGTGTGGTAACGGTCCATTGCAGCGAGCCTAGGTACAAAACGGTGAACAGTTGGTACCATTGCTACTTGGCATCGGCATGAATCGATGAAAACAGACCTTCCTGTCCTGGAATCTTGAGGAGGTTTTCGACGTTTCACTTGCTAGAATGCTCCGTTACGCAAAGAGTGGAACTTGCCCGACAAAGTCGCAAGAACTGCTTCGCGCTTGCGTGTTGCAACACATTGCAACAGGAGCCTTAAACCCAGAGAGGATAATTCGTTTGGCTTCCGAGGGACTTAACCAGCTTAACCTTAAAGGCCCTCAATGCAGTCAGCTCGAAGATCTCGATGACTCTCGAGCAGGAAACGAAATTGAGCGTGTCAAGGAATGTCAATGCAGCAGTTGGTCCACATTTATAGGATTTTTGTAAACATTCGTATTGCAGTTACATGTCTCAACTATGGGGATGCCATATGTGACACACGCGACATTTTGTTTTCAACCTTGCTGCATACCATAGCCAAAGTTGCTTAGCCTGGTTCCTTCCTCTGTTTTCGTTGAATGACATTCTCAGCTTCCACTCCTACATGAAATCATCATGGATATGATTTGATGTGTTATTTGTTTGTTGCGACCGGGAGATATTTTAGGCATTGTCAAGAATCTGCCATTGCATGCAGAAACAATTTCGACATGCGTTGCTTTTCTTATCATTCAACGAAAGGCAGAAATCCGCGAGAAGCTATTTACTTGTTGCGCTGCAGGGCAAAAGTGATAAGGTGCAAACAGAAGTCATGAAATCATTTTAGCTGGGCAAAATAAAAGCTGCTGCTCTACCATGCTTGATTGGAAGATCTGTGTCAGTGCTCAGTCCTCTATTCGGCAGCAGTTTGCTTTGCTGACGTGAATGAAGGATACATCACTGCTGAGAAAGCAAAACCAAAGAGAGAGAGAGAGATAGTTTCTAGATGACTTTGGAACGCATTCCCATGTGCTTTGTACCGTGTTGGTTTTGATGCTTGATTTTAACTTAACCTACCCTACCCCGTTCTGTATGTTTTGAAGAAGCTTGTGAACAGAGCATGGGTGGCATTTGTACCAGCCAGCTAGAGTCGCTTGCTCATGACTCATGCATCACACAAACCACTACACGCTTTGCACCATGATGGAGCTGCTTGGGCCTGATCACCGCTCAAGATAAGACTGCGGCGCGCTTGAGATGGCATTGTAAACCGTTGTGTGATTGGGATGAGCGATGTTTTCAAGTCGCCTCAGTCGGCAAGTATGACTCATCTCTATCATCTCAAGTTGATTCTATAGAATTTCTATGACTGAAACTTGGCATCTCAGGTCAACTTCGCTTCCAAGCGTTCACAGTCCGCCTTTTCGCAGTGCCTGCAGAAGGCACGGGGCGGATTCTGTGTGACTATGATGACCATGGATGGTTCCGAGAGATGTTCCGATTCGTTGTCAGAATAGGCTTATAGAGATATTCTTGGACACGTTGCTTTGGTATTTCCATGGCTTGCCTACATGTTTAAGGGCTAGTTCCTGCTGCTCCGCTCAAAGTCGTGGGCATTCCTTGAATATAGATCAATCCGACCGGTTTAGACCCTGTGTTCCTTAGAAACGAGAAGATCCAGATTTCTAGAAGCTTCCCTTTCTTTTGAAGGCCATAAATCGGTCTCAGCCTTCGGTGATATTCAGTGTTTTCGCTCTTGGCCACCTCGAGGCGTCAGGTTTCCTTCCTGGCTGCGTAGAATGCTCAGCATCCTGTCGAAAGTGGTCTATTGCAAGGACCAAGAAGTCTCTTGCAAGGTTGCACACCCGCATCTCTTCCAATCTGATTGCAGCACATGCGCCAGAGACTCAGGGTTCAAGTTGGGTGTGGACGGTTCCAGACTGACCCAGTCGACAGAGCGGCTTGCAGTTCCGACCAGCGGTGATCCACGACCCACTCCGCTCCAAAGCAGTCCCTAATAGTAGTGTCCTTGCTCCTAGTAGCGATGCCCTTTGCTACTACTAGCGATGCCCCTGCTACTAGTAGCTAGAAGGCTACTAGTAGTAATGCCCTTTGTTACTAGTAGCGATGCTCTTGTTAGCTTGTTCAGAGAGCTATACTAGTAGCGATGCTCTTGTTAGCTTGTTCAGAGAGCTATTTGCTAGAAGCTTTTTGCAGACACGTTTAATTGAGGGTTTGCGGTTTCGCAGCAGTTCAGCTCAAAGTGATGTTGTTGGCTATGCCCTCAAAGACAAGCTGCTACCCTCACCCAGCAACACTTTGGCAAGTGTGTGGCCTCCGGTCTGTATAGTTAATTGCATCCTAGAAAACACAAGAATCATTTGATCCGGACCCCAACCAGCCAACATTGCCACCTTTGGTGCATTCAATCAGAGCTTGATCTTGTGTATTTCTGGCTTGGAGAGACAAAGCCCGCGCCATGTGGCCAAGCACATAATGCAGCCAAACCACTGGGTGACAGGTTCGTTGGCCCAGTTGTGTCTCACTGATGCAAATTGATGCTACAGTTTGCAAGAAAAGGGCTTCATGTCGCTTTTCCTTAGTATTTTGTGTTTAAAGCGACCTGTTGATTTTGTGATTTCGCCCTGCAACATTCCAACAGGTTCTTTTGTGCTGTCCCTTTGCCTGTCATTTTTGCTGGTTGCGGAGCGCTGCATCCGTGAACACCTTGCATTTGCTGAGCACCCGGTGCAGCTTGACATGTTGAATGAAATGGCATTGATTTCCATTTTTTCACCGCTTGGTCTTCTCAAAAAAAGGACTCTGATGTGGATGGGCCTTTCTTCTGGTGAGGTTTGCGGAGCTTGCCGAGAAGATCCCCAATTACGAGCATGTTTGGTTCGCCTGGGAGTTGGTGGGCACCCACCCCAACAAGTACTTTACTTGGCTTTTCGGCAAGGCGAGTTCGCTCTCATTCTGGCTGAGCATTCCTGGATTCCGCTCGATCTTGTCAGGAAAAGCACTACCCGCTAAATGGTTTTGGTGAACTGGTGCTGGAGAAGAATGCCTCATGGCAGGACGAGCTGACTTTGTCCACTCTTCGTGCCCGTCTTTTTCTGCCACCGAAATTGCATTCATTGCAGGAGTTGTGCGAGATGGATTCTGACGCGGACTCTTGCCTGAAGTGATTTTCTTGGAACAACTCTATATATATATATACAGATCTATAATGGCTACTATGTAATATTACTATATATATATATAGATAGACACAAATTGACTAATGGAAGGACTCAAAAGTTCAAGCAACTCAAGCTGCAGGATGGCATCACCAACGGTCAGGAGCTCGGGGACCCATGTTGCCGCTGGCATGCTGCAGCTGGGGATTTTCAGATCAGCCGCAACTTAGAGTACAGGCGCCACATGTGAGCAGCTTTGCAATGCTTTGCATGTGTCATGCCTCATGAGACGATTGGACACATTTGGAAACTGTCTTGTGAGGCGTTGGATGACTTCTCATCCAGCACATCCCACGCGAAGGCTGGCATGGTTTTGTCGAGTCGGAATCTTGGGCCTATTGTGTCTCTTCTGCCTCTTGCTTTAGGAATGGCAACGTTCATTCCTTTCCGAAGTCCTGTGATGAGGATCACCGCTCTGGTCGACATTATCTGCGAAGTCTTGTGATTGACCTTTCACAACACTCAACACCAGCAGCTGTGAGGAGTATGACGCTGAAGAGTACCAGCGGATCTTTCGCAATTTCTACTTCAGTCGTTTGGAAGGGAGACTTGGAAGTTTTGATCAGTGTCTTTCCGACATTTCTCATCAAGAGCCCTGCTTAGGACAGAGGACGTTCCGTGGTCAATTCTGAAGCTGGCAGCCTTTGCTTTCATGACTCTTGGAAAGAGATTCTTTTCCTTTCATTTTCATTTTTGTCGTCAGTGGGCTCGTTAATTGACCTACGAATCCAGTCAGAAGGTGCACTGCGCATCAAATCCGAGTGCTCTTCGCACTTAAGGATTCTTCAGATCGGCTTCTGGATCGCCTTCGATGGACTTGGGGACGATCTTTTTCGTTCCAAGTCTCCGATGTCTTCAGGTCGAAAACTTGCACATGGGGCCGTCGCACATAGGCTTAACACTGCAACCTAGTTGAAACTCAGAATGGAGCGTTTTCCAAACGAAGATGAGAAACCGAAGGTCAAAGGGTGCTGCTCATTGCTGCCAGCTTTCTTTACATGGACCCTTGGCAATGAGTCCCAGAAGAAGGACAGAGACACAGAGAGAAAGAAGGAGACAGAGAGAATCTAGTAGTAGGTTGGAGGCCACTGCTAGTTAAGTTTCCTAAAAATCTAGGAGCCAAATCATTAGCGCGAGCTATCCTGCGTCCTAGGTAGTAGCTTACTTGCAGCTAGTAGCTACCTCCCTTACTTAATTAAGTAGGCGCCTACTTAATCAAGTAGGAGTAGGGAGGGGGGAGTGGCCCCCCCCCAAGAAAGATCCAATGAAAGAGAAGCAGATTTTGTTCGTTCCTTTTCGGCACTGAACTCATTTCGTTTGGCCGAGGACTTCACCTCCGGGGTTGTTCATTTGATTTTGGACTATGCACCAACCTTTTTGCCAGTGCTTGGAGGAGACAGTCACCCAGAGACAACCTTTCATAGACCACACGGCTGAAGATTCTTTTGAGAGTCGCAAAGTTGTGGGCAGGCTTGGCCGGTGGTTTCCGATATCACCATGAAGATCCTACTGCCATTTGCCGTATCAGCTGGTTTGAATATGCCTCTCACACTCATTTGCTTGCCATCCCCATATTGTTTCTTGGCCAAGCGACAACAGGTGCAACTTCTTTTCCGTTCTCAGCGACGGAATCTCTTCAGGATGGTACTTGAGCACAGGGTCAATTCGCCTGCTTCCTTCCACCTTCAGGTTGGTCCTGAGATTGGGTTTGCCCTCACGAGGGTTGCGCTTCTTTTGGATCTGGGGTCTTGCCACCTGGCCAACGGCTGTTCTGGCATTGATGGGTCAGAACCCTTTTTTGCATAGCTTGCTTGGTCAACGACTTTTCTTGCGTTTGGAACATATGATGATGTTCACAAGGTCTGGAGCCACCTCTTTCAGTCAGCGCACCGATGGACGCACTTCCCACCGGAGCAGCTTTCTTGGTGGAAGCGTATTCTTCAAACAGTCCTGGTCCTCACACACGAGCGCTACTTGGAAGACATCGACTTGGAGCGGAGCTCTTCCGAGCTGTTCGACTTGGGGGGTGAAAACATGTGACACGTTGCTATTAGGTTGGAGGCCATCACCAGTAGGTTGGAGGCCATCGGTCTTAGGTTGAAGGCGTCAGTGACACGTGACTGGTGTGCCTTGGGATTCCTTTGCAGGCTCCGGTTGGGACCCCTAGGGCACAATACGTGTTGACTGAGGAGATGGACTGGAGCGTGGATAGGGGGGTTTATGATGTGTTCCCGTCTCATTTGAAACTCCAAAGAAACACAAAAAGGCTTTGGTTAAAGCACAAAGAGCTTGGCGCCACACGTTCCACGAGACAGCTTTGCCCAAGGCCACATGGAGCATCATCAGGACCTGGAAAAGCAGTTTACCATTCTGTTCCTTGGCAAGTTGGGAGACTTGTTGGGCGCCATCGCGAAAAACCACCGCGCTGCTCCAATTTCGGCAACGACATCACTCTCCTTTCAGGTCGGGCTTGGGAGACGCGGTCTTGGATCCCTTGGTGAAACTCGTGCCGGCAGCACATTACGATTATTGGTGTGTGCGACTCGGACTGACTTGGAGTGGCTTAGACCGCCTTTGCTTTTCAGTCCACCGTTCCTTGGGCCATCGCCTGGGCCTTTTGGGAAGGTGCTTCTATTCTAGTTGCTAGTAGCGTCCTCTTGCTCCTAGTAAGGCCAGGAGCCCCTAGTAGCCTCCTTGCGCCTTTTGCGCTCCTTTGCGGGATCAGGTTTGGTGTCCTTTGGTTCTTTTTGCCCAATTTCCTGGACTCCTGGCTCCGCCCTGATGGTGCATCCAGTCGAGTCAGCGTCCATGAGAAAGTCTAGAGCCCCTTCACCGATTTCATCCCCCTCTGCGACATCGATGACACGATTCCTCGCGAAAGGGGACATGGAAGAATTGTGCAAGTATTGTTTTCGTGCAAGAAACAATACTTTTCAAATGCCGCACATCTTTGGGGGACGCAATGACCTCACTGAGCCTCATTGGTTCCTCTGAAAACAAAGGAGCATTGTAAATAATCAAGCTGCAAGGTCAGCCCATTTAATTTGGTGCCGGATGGCGACAAGCCTCGTCCTACCAGATACAGCATCACATGGCCTTTGCCCATTTCGGTCGAAGCCCGTTGGGTTCAAGGCCTTTTTGGATACAGCAAACAACCGTGATGTCGTATTTTCTGCCTTGGTCATGACGTCTCCATGCGCAAGGGCACCGCACCGCAGTGAGTGGCCGCGGAAAACGCGTGAGTTGTGCTTCAAAAAACCAGCACGCAGCAGCTTGCTCTTCACCGTGTGGCTGATAGGCGGGCTGCTAGAGCCTTAACAAGATGCCTGTGAAACCAAAACGTTTACTGTACTCTATCCGTGTAAATGGCCATATGTTCTTTGGTAATCTGAAGATTCGCAACTATCAGATGGGGCGAGTTTGTGCCAGGCCCATTCGAAGCCTACGCCAGGCGTGCGTGCATTATTTGCAGTCATTGGTGGAAGTGGTGGACCTACATGCCAACATTCAACATGTCTTTTTTCATGTCCGAAATATATTCAGAGATTCTGTTTTGCGATTCTAGATGATAGTCATCATAGTCATCCTTCATCAGCGGTGCAGGCTCGTGAGTTGAACCAGTGTTTACATGTGTTTACATGGGGATGCAGTTCCTTCCATTCCACAAGCAGTTTGCTCAACTTGCTCCAATTCTACCAACCTTTTATCAAGACAGAACGTATTGCAGCTATGCTTCAGCGGCTCCGAGATTGTCGCGGCATCCTTTTCCTTGGCAGCTTTGCTTCAGCATGAACTCTTGTTCGGGCCCGAGATCTGTTGAACAGCCTGAGGCCTGTGATTCTCAAAGCAGGTTTCAACACATACAAGGTTGAAGCATCACTTTTAAAATTCTTGTATACACCGTGGACTCAACTTCCACACAGCAGATGAATGCAGATGCTGTCACACACACACACACTCGAGATCTTGCATACTGACACGACTTGCGGTTTGCCACACGCCAGCCTAAGTAAAAAAAACCTAAGAATCCAGGGAAGATGAAACCTGAAAGATGACCTCCATGAAGCCTCCAAAGCCCTTTGAACTCGAAATGCACGGAAAGCGGAAAGCTGCGACAAGGTGACGACGATCGTGCATATTTGTTGAACGCATTAGCCCGTTAATAGAAGATGGGAGTAACAGCTTGAGCAACAGTTCACAAGGCAGGTATGTAGTTCTGGCGTCCTAGAACTATATCACAATGCAACGGATGCGGCTTCGTTGGCGGGAGACATCTGAAGCACACTCCAGCCCCCTGCACTATGACTAGCAAAGTCGAAACCAAAACCAAGGGATTTTTAGTGATTCCAGGGGTTTCACACACGCACACACTCGTGAATTGCATGCGTGCGAGGGGTGCCAAACGCGTAGAAGAAACCTAAGTAAAGCCAAGGCCCCAAAGCCCAGGTGAAAATGCACCGCTGTAACATGAAGTTGCCAAGATTCCAATCGAGTTGCAAGTCAGTGGAACTCAGCACTGGAAAATGCACGGTCTGAAACCTGGAAACAGCCTTCGAGATTGAGGACTTGAGCGCCGTCAGGCGGACGAGGCCTGCGAGGATCTCAAACTGCTCCATGGGCAGCTGCAGGAGTTTTACTGAGTTCCGCAGTTTGTTTTTGCACGGTGAATACGCTTGTGGAGGTAGAGTGATTTGTTGTTGGTAGAATTTTTCAGACGGACCATGCAGAATTCCAGCAGGATTTGCTGAAGCACTGAGTTTTACAAGCAGTTTTAAGATGCAGAAGAGTTGAGTGCTTCAGTGGCTACAAGTATATAACACAGTGATATCAGTGATATCCCGAAAGCCAGTGCGCACACAACTTGCAAAAATAATCGAGAGTGTACACTGCGGTGGGACTGGATACGGCCAGTGTACACCCAAACCCTTCTGCAACACCCCTGAACCTATCCCTTTATGTTTGAAGGTAAATGTTCGTGGCTCCAGTGTGAGCTTAAGCAGGACTTGGGTTGGGTAGAAATTGAGGGCAGTGCCCCGTTGGATTTCTCCCACCCACCCACCCGTACTTGTTGGTTTGCGTGTCTGGCCCAAGTGACTGGGATGGATCTGGCAGTGCTGGCTAGCTGCTGCCCTGTGTTGATTCATGCATATATATATATATTTATGTGTACGCTAGCCCGACCTGAGAGATCCACCTTTGATGCTCTTCCAAGGGCATGCATATGCAAATGTTACAGGCAGATATTGCCAGCGTACACAAGGGCATTTGCATAGGGAAGCGTATTTGCATTGGATGCAAGGAGACTGCTTTAGAAAGCATGGTTACTTAATCCGCGGAGCATATCGTTTGATGAATTGACAACATTGCCGCCCTTATAGCTTTGATTCGAGGCCGATCCGACCACGCAGAACTTGAACGTATAGCGCAGATTGCTCACTGCGTTCTGTTTCATGAAGAATCTAACTGGGGACGCATTCTTCGAATGAGTCCCCAGTTCGTCTAATTAATTGGAGTGATGGTATTTCCAGAGAAGGCCTTAGCGATCCATGGTGGCGCCGCCGCATTTTTTCGGTCCACGTCAGCGCTTTCCCTGTCGTCTTGTGGACTTTACGTTTCAGGTCGCTCTTTCGTGTCATCGCATTCTTCTAGTAGTACGTTGGGGTTTAGTGCTTCTGGTGTTGAGAGTTCTCTTCACCGCCGTTGTATGGAGTTCAGACCCTAGTGGCTCCAAGTGTAGTTGCCGGACAGAGCTAAGGTTCTGCAGCCCCCTGAACTGAGATGCGGAGAAAAAGAAGGGAGCTGCGCGATCGATAGCTGTATTGAATGTTAGGTTGTCTTGTGCTTCTAGGGCAGGTGGACGTATACTGTGACCATTCCTACCAGCTAGTCTGATGTCTCCTGTGCATGAGTGCACGTGTGCGTGTTTATACGGCCGTTACTGCTCAAGAGACACAAAAAGGCTTCAGGTGAAAACCTTTTGCGCCCACCCACCCTATCCTGGAAAACAGTTTGGTGTTGCTTCCTTTGATTTTTGGGCACAGCCCCAGAAAGGGAGCAGCTAGATCCGACCGGCGGGAGCGGCCCGCCAAGGTGACCAGTGCAGTCACCCGGCCGGGTGGGTATTCACAGGGTAGTTTCGATTCCTATCGGTTTTATCGCTGGGGTGTTGAGAGTTCTCTTCGCCGCCGGTGTATGGGGTTAGTGGCTCTAGGTGTACTTGCCAACGTAAATCCGAAGAGTGCTTCTGATGCCGGACAGAGCTAAGGTACTACAGCTCCCTGACTGAGATGCGGAGAAAAAGAACGGCGCTGCGTGACCGATAGCTGTGTTGAATGAAAACCTAATAATATCGAAGTGATCTTTCCAAGAGATGGTCAGCCCAGTATTGCTTTTAAAAATCGTTAGAGTTTAACTCCAATTAAATCCGAATTCACGTCGAATTTCAATAGAAATCAAACAGACCTCAAAAGAACCCAGTCAGAGTTTTGTTGGAAAGCAACTAGTGCTAAAGTAGAACTCAATTACTGTAAAAGCCAGCTGCAAGTTAGCGCTTCATTTGGATTTCAAGTTGAACCAACTCAGAAGCCAAGCTCAAAAAGAGGTCAAGAACGTTTTCAAAAAGACTGTAGTTGGTGTTCTCAATATTGGTCCACCAGAGAACCCCGAGATGAAAGCTTGTACATACAGCTTTTTAAAAATAGAAGTGATCACCTCCAGAGATCCAGAGAAAAACTTCTGGCGTGAACGCCTTTATATAGTTGCTTTTGTCAAATCTCACTGACTCTGTTTTGGGCCTGGTGCAACATACGGTGGTGGAACTCAGCATGCAAGTGCGTTCAGACTTGAGATCCCATATTCATTGTGTGACATCACTCTTCCCTGTTCCAGACTTCACAAGGCTATTGGACCCATGGATTGAAGATGGAAGATTTCACAGGACTCTTGGCCAGAAATCTTCTGGTTGAAGATTTCAAAGAGGGTTCTTGGCCAGAAATCTTCAATCCACAGCGCCAGATTGAAGACTTCACAGGTTTATGAAGATTTCTTTAGTCTTCAATCCAGGGTTCTGGATTTAGGATTTCTGGCCAAAGGTCCTGTGTGGAAGTGTAAGTCTTTGGAAGAACGTCAAAGGTGGATCTCAGGGGGGTACCATATGCACATAGTTATATGTATAGTAATATATATATATATGTATGTATATTGATGACAACAAATTAGCCTGCGCAGCTGTTGCATTTGGGTTTCGCCAACCTGCTTGGAAAGCCTCCTGGGACTCCTCAACCAAAAATATTGATTCCTTATGCTCGCAACAGTTCTGGACCCTTTCAAAGTTCCCCCTCCAAATCTGAGCAAGATCTGACCAATACAGGGTTCAAATGCGACCTGTGTGAAACCTTCTGAGCCACAGCCTGATGGCTGAAAAAATGTTTTTATCATCCAGTCATCATATGGTTGCCCCATGTTGTTGGGATACAAATCCTCCTACAATCATCCTAACGGCCATCCTTTGAAGCGTCCTAGACTCATGCTTTGGCTTTCCGCATCTTTCCCCACATCATCTGTACCCTAAAAACACTTTGCGTGTGCCACATTGAACCATAAAACCGTGCTACCGTTGTTTTTGTATGTCTGGTTGTTTAGTGTTCTATTCCTGTGAAGTCAGAATTCGTGAGCGGTCTGATTGCTTTCGTTGTGTGGTGTGACTTCAGCGCCGGCACACCGGCAGTCATTAGCCGCAAGAACCAGTCCCTGACAGGTCTGACAGAATTATATAGCGGCAGCTTTACCAAGCTTTAGTTAGCCTAGGCAGCGCAGATAAACA